AATTCTTTAACATTCTTTAAATTTTTATCTTTTAGTTTATAGTTTTTTTTCAGAGAGTAAATAAAATTTTATTTCTACTTATTTTCTATTCAACACACTCTCCATCTATATCTTTCTCCATCACAAATCTCCGGCAAATTTTTTGATTTCAATATATATTTTACGACGACTTAAAGACTATTCTGTCAGCTAAAAAATGTGAAAGACACTAATTAATAGGAATGATTTGGAGAATCTCACGATCATTCTCTCGAATGCTCTATATGCTCGAGTTCGCAAGAATCGAAACAACCCCGGGCAGCGCTTGGTGTGCCGGCACTCAATCAATAGACACATAAATATCATCTCGGAGGCGAGTCCGTTCGCTTTCCTTCTCCCTTGCATACATACTATATCTCTGCTTCGCGTACATCTCTGTTCGTACGTCACACACGTGCGCGTGTCGACGCTCGCGCCCATCGAGTTTCCGCGATTCCGCCAAGTGTCGATGACGGCGTCGGCATCGAGTCAGTGGTGGCGCTTACGCCACATCGATTTCAGGGATTCGTCGTCGTTTTTGTCTCGCGCGACGACACATTCAAATAAGTAAGGGTTCATCCCCGCCGATTCCTTCGCCCGGGGACGGTCGTCTTCCACCCTCGCCGCCCCTTAGGTCCTTCTTTCGCCTTCACTCGCTTTCCCCCTACGTCGGCACGAGGGATGGGTCGCGACGAGATTAAAAGAAGAATCAATAGCGTCTCTCGTCCCACCTCCCCCCCCTCCTCCCTCTTCCCCCCCGTGGAGGTAGGTGTCCCCTTTCGTCCCGCTATCCCGCAACCTCAAAGGCCCTCGCCATATATTGAAATGCTCTAAGAGAGGACTGCCTCGAAGCCGTCCCACCTCCGTGCTCTTCTGCAACACAACCACCACCTACGTGGGTGGCCGTCGGGTGAGAGGGGTGGCCACCCTTTCGTTTTCGCCCCTTGCCCTCGTTCCCTACGAACACACTCGCTACTCTTTCGGTTCCTCCTGGACAAACACTGTACGAGTGCTTCTTCTTCATCGTCGTCTTCTTCTTCTTCTTCTTCTTCTTCTTCTTCTTCTTCTTCTTCTTTCTAAGTCTATCTCCTCGTCTTCTGGCTCTTTCGTACACATTTCTCTTTTGCTCCGGTGTAGCTTTCGCGAACTCTTTCCTCGTCTATCGCACTAGGACACTCGTCGCGCCCCTTCCTTCCTTCGTCTCTGCTTCCTCGTGCTTCTCATCTTTTCAAACCTTTACGAACCCCGGGGGAGGATGGGAGGGCGGGCCGCTCTCGCAGGTTGAGACCGGAGGAATTGTCAATTTCTATCCCCTTCCTTCTTTCTTCTTGCATAGTGAGATAAGGAGATCCTTCACGAATGATTTTCGCGGAAATAGCGCCGGCGAGCGCTCTTTGAATCCATCCTTTTGGATCGACGAGCCGCCGCGAGACTTCACGACGAAATGCACGTCACGTGAAATCACCCCGGAGATTGCTCGGCCATTGTAGCGATAGACGACAAAACGCGTCATATCGTAAATTGCCGGTCGCCCTTGAATAGCGATCATGCGAAAGACTCTTATTTAGATAGATAAACATAAATACACTTACGTAATTCGCGGATAATTGTGACCATATTTTGTGCAAATAAATTAGGACGGGTATAGAGAGAAAGTATATCGTGTATTCATAGATTTAGAAATATTATTTCATTTATACATATACATTTCTATTTCATTATATATTTGTATAATATTATTCTATATATCTATTAATAACAGGATATAAATATTTTGAATTCAAGTTTATTTCATACGTTAAACGCGTATGAAATAGCTGAAGAGCGAGAGGGAAACGCTTTCCTGTCTCAAATTGTTAGTCGCAATGCATATTAAAGCGAAGATATTTTTTTTACGAAGTCGGGCGCGCGTTTCTCTCGGGAATTCGTCCCTCTTCCTCATTCTCATTTCCCAGCACTTTGAATTTGGCACCGCGGAAATTGCCAGCCACATTTTGCGGGCCAGCTCTGACAAGGTGAATATTTTAGTGGCAACCCCGTAGGTTGTTGGCTTCACATACATATGCGCGCACACGTGAATCGGTTGGAGATACGCCTCGGTCAACATCGTCGAAAAATGTATTAAAGGCAAACACATGCATCCTAAGGAGGTTGGGCTATCCGCCTCCCTCTCGGACTCCCTCTCGCCCCTTTTTTCCATCCCGCGGTACACACGTCTATGTATTCGGATACTTGCGCCAAGCCTCGTGTTCCTCTATGTTTTATTCCCTCCTTTAGATACGTCCGCCAGTTATCTAAGGTGCACACGCGTCTAGGTTCGATCGCCGCGCTCGCGATTGCGCTGAGAATAATCTATTTGGAAATTACTAGCGACGATGTTAATATCCTTAAAATGTTGTAACAGTAAATTGTGAGGCGAAAATGGGAAATGTTAGGAGAATATATCAACTTATTTTCTTAGAATTTTCTTGGAAACTGTTATACGTAATATCAATAATGTATAGAACGCGGTTAGACACGCGCGTATACTGAATCATTTAATACGTCATTTCATTTTAAAATTGTTTTTGTTAATGTTCCATAATTTTCATAATTACACCAATAATATAATTATCTATTTATAAATAATATGGACATCTATACACATTTGTACAATGTTTAGAAGATTGTACTAGATATTTTCATCAAACAAAATTTACAAATATGCTTTAAATAAATATTACATATGTATGGAAATATATTAAAAAACAATATTTTAAGGTATAGAATGACGCAATAATCCTTGAAAGCGTTTTAATTTTGTAACGTGGATTTTTTATTTTCGAGTGTTTAAATGCACTTTTGCATTTTGTTCTACATTTTCCACAATTTTAACCAGAAACATTAACTATATTTTTTCAAATTTTCTATGAAGAAGGCATATTTATCGCAAATCAAATCTACGACTGTACTACGAGATATTGCCCGGGATTATCATTTGTATTAATTACGTATGAAACGGGTAACGCGCTCCAGACATGAAAGAGAAGCCTCCCAACAATTCAGCCGTGTAACAGGAATTATGTGGCGGAACGAGTTATTATTTACTTATTAGACGTTCAGCTCTTTCTCTCTCTCTTCTTTCGCTTTGCGTGGTTTCTCTCGCTCTCTGTGGGGGTGTGAAAATGAACTAAGGCCGGTCTGGTAGAAATTAAAAACGTGACTCCGCCGAGCGCGCGGGTAGCTTCATCGCGCGGCTAACGAGAAGATACGACCTCCTGGTAAGCGTGTATATAGGTATAGTCATCTCATGTGCTGTAGCGCGTGAAGATGTACGCTTCTTACGTATCGGGTGGCGCGATTCCAAACGATACATGCGTCTATCTGCGAACCAACTGAACAGTAACGAGGTAGCTGAAATGCAACGTTAAACACTAATGTTTTTGATTGCATTATATTGAAATTCAATTTTGTATTATAATATACAATCTATTTTATTACATCGATTTTTTAACATATACACTTTATCCTTCTAAATTATGCTTATGATATCGAAATTTGATGTGCAACAGTAAATTATCGATGAATCTGCTTTAAAACTTTATATATTGATTTACAAAATGGATTTACAAATATATCTATGCAAAGATTTAAGCAAAGATGTTGCAGAAGTTAATTGAGAAACTGATTTACATATTAAAAATATATCTTGTACAAAATAATTTTAATTTACATTAAAGAACTTGTATTCACGTTGATTTTATCATTTCTGGCACATTGTAATTGCAACTTAAAATTTGTAGAAAATAAATTGAAGACAATTAAGTTTTTCATAAAATAATTAAACGGAGATCATTGCAGCGTGACCATAAAGAAAATTCACTACATACAAAGATAACTTATATCGAATAAAGTTATGTATCGTAATAGTTCCAGGTAACGTGTCTTAATATCGTCGTGTGACGTAAGCTTTAGATACGTGACATGCTTTATCCGGACCAGCAGCGTTAACAAGCTTAGAGCTATCTATTGATTTATGACAATACCGATATAATATAGCAAATGTATTAAAACGACATCAAGATAAAATGATAATAAAATAACAAATATTTATCTCCGATATAAAAGCAAAAACAAAATAATTACTATTTATAACTTGTACGTTTAAATTTGGTGTGGTTAATGTGTGAAGCTGGTGTCTGATATCGACATAATTAAGATTTCTGGCTTTATTTTCAATAGTTCTAGAGTTGATAGTTAAACAAATAGTTCTGGCCATTAAAACAACAAAAATGCCTTGGGACAAATTGAGACGCCAAATTCATACAGTGCCTCACTTGTTCTACGGCCTTTTCTTTATCAATAATTAATAGAATTAAAAAATATATAGTTCCACATGAGTTTTAAAAAGAGTTTTGCCTCTTAAAAGCAAAAAATATTATGTAAACTAAAATAAAGACAACCAGATATCTATATCTATATTTAAATATAGACACCAGTCAATTTTCAAGAATTATACTTATTCTAAAGCTATATCTTTTCCAATGAATTTTCTCGAGTTTTAATTAATTATTAATATTAAGTACTAGTCATAGTACGCGCGCGCTATTAGAATGAAGTGGCCGATATTTGCGGAATAGCGAATAACTTCAGTCATTACCGAAACACCGCGAGTACCAAGCGGTTCGAGCTGCGTCCCGTTGTGATTAATTAGTAAGCATAATTGTTTCTAACCTTTGTATTGTAATATTTATCAATCGCATATCATCATTCGAACGTTTATATATAGTAGTAATTGTTCGAAACGCATATTTCGATGCAAAATCTATATCAATCTATAGTCAACATAATCCAACCTAACTTTATCTGTTGCGCACGAATGTGTTACGACTCGTGATTATATCTATCTTTAACTTTAGCTTACATATTTATATGATGTATGTTATAATGCAAAAATAATAAGATTGTTCTAACATATATTATATGTATTTTATTTGTTACAGGTAGCATTGCTGATAAGCTGCGCGCGAGTTTGCGAGATTTTCGAGTGTCGAACGGATATGTTACTTTGCGTGATTATAGTTTTCGTACCGTTTTTTTTGTCTCGAAATACCCGTCGTGTCGGGAGTGTCGTGTAAAGTTTCGCGAGTGCCGTGAGTGCTACAGGAGCAATGACTATCGAGCAAGAGAGGAGGAGGCCCGTGGAGGCATCGGACAACAGCGGGGCAACTGTAAAGTATGCGAAATAAAAAGATTTTTTTCTAAACTACATTGTTTAACACACATGTATATACATAATTTGAATATTTTGTTTTCAGATCAACGTGCTGTGTACTACAACTCCGCTATTGGGCGTGTCGGTGAGTGAGAAATTGTTTTATAACATTTCTATAGCGGTGTGTGGTTAAGTAGAAAATTATTTTTTAAAAAACGAGGAAAATTATTTTGTTTCTGTGACGTCTATTCTCTGGGAGGAAACTGGGGGGTACGTTTGAAATAGTAACTGTGTCGAATTCGATACAAATTGTTTCGTAGATACTACTGCCACGAGTAACCAGATACTTTGGTACATAATGGCGTAGGTGTACTCGATGCGATTGAGTGGAAATGGTTAGGATACGCGGAAACCGTATATAGCTGAATTTATTTCTGCATTTCCTTCCGTCGAGAAGGCTTTCTATGTTTTCTGTGTAATTTTGGAATTTCGAGCATAATACGGTTGAAATTTACTGTTATGTAATCAAAACATTTTCTTCTCATTTGATCCATTAAATTCGTCCCTACAATTTGTACAATCTAATTATTAAAAATAATAGTACTTAACTTTTAAAAGCTTTTAAAGCATTATTTAAGATTATTTGCATGTACTAGAATGAGTATAATGATCTCTCTTTTTTATAAAAAATATTGTGTAATGAAATAATGATAGATTTTGTTTTTTTTCTTTAAATTTTTTCTTTCCAAATTTCTAAAAGAGAAAGACTAGAGTAATAAAGTAATTCATGCCGTTCAATGGTTCAATTATTTATTAAACGACAGATTCCCGCCATTCACCAGACTCCCCCGTTTCCTCAACCAGGTGCGTCTTTAAGTGAGATATCGCGGAGGATGTCTTTTTACGCTCGCAAATTATGCAAGATACCACGAGCTGTATCTTTCAGAATGCATAATGCGACAATGGCGCGATAACGCGCGCGCGAAATGAGTCGTCTAGCGTCTTATGCAAATCTTTTCGAGAGGAGCACTTTGTAATGGGCAATAACGTTAACACCTGCTACCTCGTAGAGTGTATCCCGTATAATGGAGAAATGTTTTTATGCACGGCGTGTCGTTAAATTTATATAGAGACACTCGTCACTCTCCTGGCGTGCCGCCATTACGACGCGGATCGGTTGAGTTAAGCGTGATGCAGAAACGTGCAACGAGGTTTGACGAAATGGAAAAGAGCACTGCGTCAAAACGACATTAATATCTTGAGGTTTCGAAATTAGCATAATGCTCGTTCTGAGTCGTTTCGGCTGATTATACGCTCCCCGCTTTTCATGAATATATTATTACTAACTATATACTTAAGATATATATGTAGTATTTTCACGTATTTATATATCTCATTTATTTGTTACTATATATATCGCACATACAATATATATTGTATATTTATATATATATATATGCATTTTTTGTAATACTTTTTATAAACCGAATTAGAGGATTATTACAGATATTTTTTACACCAACTCAGGTAAGACTATTGCTTTGTCGCATACCAGATTATTTTTATATATTTGTAAGAAAATAATTTTTTTACAGATCTCCTCTCTTGCAGTTAGATTCAGTATGCATTAGATCGATAATGTTTCTCAATTTTAAAGAAAGACAGGTACACACGAGATCAGGGTTAGCATACGAAACGACATTGCGAAGGAAAGCGTTTCGTTGCTCCATGGTACAGGGGGACTTGACAGCGTCTACAAGCTTTAGTGCAGGGATATAGTCTCCTCTCATTCCTTTCGAAAGATTACGGGTGGCTGGATGGCGTATATTTTACGTGCCGCCTTTATTTCGATACGATGGGGGTTCGATCCCCGTCCAAACCTAATTTGCGTTCCATCTCGCGAGCAAACACTCTTCGAGAACGAGACGGGCGGATAGCTCGCGAGCGCGACTCTTCTCCATTTCCCTCCCTTTTTCTTACTTCCGTCGTAATTCTTCTCTGACACGGGCTACCCGTGACACTGTTATACATCATAAGCACACAAGAAAGGTGTATCTCGAACGTTGGGCGTGCTCTTTGAACTGGCTCGAATTTCCCTCAGGGCGTGATCTGGCCGATGCGAGAGTCACCTTTATTTCCAAAGAAGTAATCAATCTGACATATTTATCTATATTTGCGCTCGATAGATTAATTTGGATTTTATACACAAAAATAAATATTATGTTTAGTATTGATATGATATAGTATGAAAGATCACAAAATAATAAATTAATAATTTTAACAATATATATTACAAATATAAGAGAAAAATTCTGCACATTGAAAAACATAAAATAATAATTTATCATATATATATTTATTGTGATATATAAGTTTAATGCTACATCGTTTTCTAAATTTCAATAAAATTCCAGTTTTTTTCATTATTCTCATTTTGAAATCAGAAAGATCAAGAATAGCTATTTAAAAAATGTAATTATATGAAGTCTAATTACTTCGACTAAAAAATATATAGTTTATTGAAATAATTAAAATTCATACTTACTGTATAATGGCTCTCCTTGAAATAAATCTTCTCATCTTGCCAAGAAATGACGAAAGAGTCAAAAGCTTAATTTAATTTCTTTATGAAAGGGCCAAGCAGTACATTAAAACCATCCTGTCATTCTGGTAAAGCTCAAGGAAACAATAAACACGCAGGAATATTGATTTTCTGATAAACTAGCGTTTAATAGAATACGTTGAGATTCTTTTAGTACAGTCTGATTTTACTCGTTGAGTTTCTGAAAGCCAAACGAGCTTGCAATTCGGTGTGCAGGGATCGAAAGTCAAGAACAATGGAATAGATAATACGAGATATATTCAAAACTATGGCATTTTGATAGCAAAAATGATTATATGCCGAATGCAATTTCTAGTGCAGTCACTCAATCGCAATAATTAAGACATTTTTATATAACTGGTTGATATATAATAATGCTATAAAATGTTATTTTTGCCCAATATGGTAGAGGATAATCGGCAACATATTTTACCACGTGAACACCAATCGTGTCGAGAAACGAGTACGAGAATGCGAGCACGAGTCGTGATTGAAAATATGGCAGTCAAGTCGTCGTTGTTGCTGCCGATAAGCGAATTTATCACGCGACATTGGTTCTTCAAGCGAGCGTGTTTCGCGTCTCTATGTAAATTGCGGGTGAACTAATATTTCGCCAGTCGGAAATAGGGTGCCTCGCAAACCGGAAATAAAATGAAATCCAGCGTAATAGAATGGCAGTACCGCTTGACAGCTCGCGCGTTCGCGACAAATGTTCGCGGTCGAACGTTGATAAAATTTTCGACAACATTGTCATGTAATTTTATGAATTTTTTAAAGATAATTCCATAGCTTATCATAGCTCGAAAGTATCGACAATTTATCTTTTGATTTTTATATTCCGATATTTTTATAATATATATATTTTTTAATAGTCAAACTCGTTGAAAGTCATTTCCGTGTATAAGGTTGACAACTTATATCATTTATAACTTTAAGAGATATGAGATGATTTCGCAAAAAAGCGAATGCAGCAAGGGAATATGTAACGAAATCATTGAATATCTCGCAAGAGATTTTTTTAAAGTATAATGTTTGATAGAGCGAATACGAAGTTAATCCAAAAAGTATTTGTCGACTTTGAATTAGGAATCAGGCATTATTTAACATCGTAATCTTCTTCTTCATCCTTCTCATCATTCATCACGTGGTCCTCGTTCTTTAAATGACTTTTCTTGACACGAAGATAATGCTTTCGAGACGATGTGCTATCATCCGCATATCGATCAGACTGGTTGAAGCCGGAAGCTGGGAATTTTTAAATCTGAAATGGTTTCTGTTCGCAACGCGCGGATAATTAATATTAAAGATAGAGGGAAATAGCAACAGGATGCAGGCGATAAGGGAAAGGCGAAAGAGAGAGAGAGAGAGAGAGATCGCGTTTGTCTCGTCGCTGCAAAACTGCGCGCGATAAATTGCATTCAAGAATGAAAATAATAGTATGCATTATATACGGTACACACACTCTATCTCTGACTTTAGGGGAGAAAATAAAGGAGAGGTTCGGATAATTTTGCAATATCGAGTTTTGGTATAGGTACTATATATATATATATATATATATATATTATATGTATATATATATATTCAATAATATTGAATATCATCATATCCTTCATCATCATCATTATATTTACTGGTATAATTAATTACTCGCTTAGATATGAAACCTAATAGGAACATGATTGCACCGTGCCCGTTTCTTCCGCACAATGTTGGCGCCTACGATTGCGGCTCCGCCGTCTTCATCATCTTCCCGGTTCTTTCCGTTCTCGCATGCACGCGTGTATCTCTCGCTTCGTGCGTATACAGGTACAACAACCGTGTTCGATGTCATAATCGTCGTAGTCGTCATCGTCATCGTCATCGTCATCGTCGTGATACATCTACGTGTGCGACACGTCTCTCTTCATCGTCGTGGAATAAGAATCTGAACGCGCGTGCGCGACTTGATGCGTGTATATATGGCACTGTGAGAGTGAATAATAAGTCTCTACACGTAATACAAAATGTGTGTATAGATCTTGGAGCGGTGACCGAGCGGACTTAGCTTTGTCTTTTCTCTCCTCGTCCCCGGACGAGCATCGATCGCGTAAATTCATTACCCTCTGCGCGACGAGCCAGGGAGTAGGTTCGATAAAACGCGAGGAAACCAACCGGTCGACTAGAACCAAAGGTGCGAGACGCGGACATATACTTAACATCGAAGATACGGTGAAACACTACAAAACGTATTCATACTCGCAGAAAGTAAAAAATGTCGCGGATCGCGGCAAGATTCGTATAGCGTCTGATTTTTCTCGCGTCGAAAAAACACGCGCGATGTATCTTTTTGTTTTTTCTACAAAGAACGGAACGTCTTGTCAGTCACTTTTACGTCAACCTGTTGTTTTCCTCTCTTTCCAAGCTGTCATTTTTCTCGCGTTCTCGTCGCCAATCTCTTTGCGCCTCCGCGTTTTACAAAAAGGGCCCAAGCGAGAGGCGCGAAAAGAGGCGCTTATCATATCCCGTCATTGTCCATTTAAAATGGGGGAGTTGGTCTTTCCAAGCGATGAGAGATTTCGCTCGATCTGAAACGTCCGATTTGGAATCGCGTGCCGAGCCGCGATACGTGGCGCCAACATCATCGGGGTTGCCCGGGACGGCGTTTCGGGTGCCCCGCGCCTTTCGGTGGGTATGCGGACCCACCAGTGGCTCACGGTGTGCCCTATAGTGAGTACATATAGATATACACATGGCAATCTCTCACAAGAATTAGTCGCTATCGTTTATCAATTAGTATCCATTATTAATTAATAGTCAATCAAGTACCGCTCGAACAAATTCGCAAGTCAATCGGCAATAATGATGCAATAATAATTGTAATAATAATGACAATAGTGTAATAACGTAATAATAATATTGAGATGATAATAATAATAATAATAATTGTAATAATCATAATGATGATAATAATATAATCGTATATAATAAAATGGCGATAATAGTTACAATAGGCAATATAGGCAATCGAATAAAGTTAATAATAAATAGACACGTTCAACGTATTTTTAGTAGAAAAACTCAACGAGATTACAAAAATGAAAAACTTGGACGTCACCGTAGCCTCTTCCGTCGTCGAACGGTTCTACCGACGCGATATTCCGACTGTTTGCTCGTACAGAGCACGACACACGCTTATATATGGTCAGTGTCATCGAGCGTGCATAAAGTATGTAGCAAGCTCGCCACAAATTTTTCCGACCGTATCTCTTCTCTCTTCCGCGTCGAGGGAGAAAAATCGCGTCGGCGAAAAGTTTTCTGTAAAAATGCGCTCTTGATGATCCTCGCGATATCATCCCCATCCCGATCATCGATCGCGTTCCGCACGCGGGAAGAGAGAGACAGACGATTATCATCATCGTATCGATCGTTTTCTCGATCCTATATACGCGGGAGAGGCGTCCGGATTTCTTTTTATTTTTCTTTTTTTTTTTTTTTTTCGTATCGACGGAAAAGAGAAAAAACGGCGTCGGCGACGTCGACCGCGCTTAAAATTTCTTTCGCAACGCAGTAATATATATATGTATATATAGCATTCGTTTCTCCTCTCATTATCGTCAGTTCATCTCACTCCATTACATAATTCCGCGTACGCTCATCACTCATTCATTGTTGATTTTTAGGAACAGCTAGCGAGGTTCGGTTACTCTATCACGCAATCTCCCGTACTCGAAACTCAAAACGCCAAAACCGCCGACGCGCCGGTTTTGCGTACACGCGCACGTACGTAATCGCGTTTTGAGTGTCACGCTCGTATGCGATGTGTAGCTCCGACTTCATACACAAAATTCGATTTTTAGTGTCGCGCGCGTGTGTATGCGTGTGTGTGTGTGTAGATGTTTTTTTTGGTGTGTACGTATCTTTGTGTGTTTGATTCGTGTGTCTCAATGAATAATTAATACGATTCTTACGACAACGCGTCGCCCATCTCCGCCTTCCGCGAGCAAATTTTCGAAGGACCAGAATCGCGATGGACACCGTCGAAGAGCGCATCTCCTTGTGCGTTCAAGCGCATTCTCGCCTTTCTACGATTATAACACGTACATACGTAATAGGAAACGCGGCGAAGGGAAATATTGTGAATTTCGCTTCTCTCTTTCTCTCTCTCGCAGTCTAAAGCGTCTCGGAGCTTTCAAGAGACGCTTTTTTTTGGAACATCTTGCCTCGTGCTATAATGAAAGTGACAGAGTTATCCGTTTTTTTTTTCTTGCAATGATTTCGAAGAAACAGTATACGAATTTGCGATCGCTAAACGCGCGCGACGATTGCCCTAATTAATAATTCTACGGGATTCAATCGCACCCCGTGATTAATTGTCTTATTTTGCGAGGTATTGGTTTACACGAAGAGAGATTTCGCTCTGAATTTTCCCGGTACGTCCTGTAAAGGTGGATCGTGCCGGTCGGAAAGACGAATCGGCTGATAATTTCGATATTAACGATTCGATTATAGATGTTTTGCTAGTGTACGGTGTGTGTGTGTGTGTGTGTGTGTGTGTCTTGGAATATGTAAATGTATACTAGTTCAACGCTGTAACGTTTATATAGATAATAATCAATACATGACCACGTACATATAAATATAATATCGTAATCTATAATAATAATAATAATAATAATTCAAATATAATATTAATAATCGCATCATTACCAACTTTACGTTAGAAAAAGCATCTTTTGCAGACAGGAACCTCGAGTTGCTTAGTACCTTAAAAATAATTATTACTTCGCGTTTCGTTTGATCTTAACGACCACCATACACGTGTTTAATAACGTCCTCGAATCTCTCAGACTCCCTCTCGCGCTCTCTCCGAGTCCTATATCTCTAAAGACGAATGCGCCCATTCGTCGGTACATTTTCTCTATCCAGCATCCCCTTTCGTTCCACGCGATATCCATCACTTGTTCTTCTCCGATATCCGCAGTATACTCTTCCTTTTTTTACTCTAATGATTCGCGTAAATTCACGGCTGCGGCGCGTAAAGAACCATGATTTCGTCTCCTCTTTTTGTGCACTTCCGGTGGCACTTCCGGCATTTCGTATACGCGCCGCATCATATACCCGCGAGTTTTCGTTTCTTCGTCAGCGCTCTAGAATGAGCTTCTAAAGCGAGGAACACGACGTACGTACGCGTGTAAACACGTCATCGTTCCGGATAGTACCCGCGAGGATTCTAGTACGTCACAACATCATATATATATATATTTATGTATGTATATATATATATATTTATCTACTGAAATATATATATATATATATATTTCTTCATTATTCTCTTATTCATTCTCTTCAATTTTCATTCATCTTTTTTTATTTATACATATATATATACTTCTTTCTTCTTTGTGCATACATACCTATGTGTGCGTGTGTGTGTGTGTGTGTGTGACTGAGAAAGTGTATTTCGTGTACTGCGTATGTGTCTGTGTATCGTCTCTGTCGATGCGCATGTATGTACTTCCCATTTCCCTCTTACATTCTATATAGTTTAATTGTAATTTATCCGTAACTTACCAGCTAGTAGTGAATTCTTTATCGTTCTCGATTTTATACAATCTCTCTCCTGTTGCCAACCGAAAGGGCGCAATCTTCTTTCCTCCCCCCCATCCCTTCCTCAATCTGCGAGATACGGGGCGATGTCTGTCTCTAAAACGTTTCGCTCCAGACGTGAGATGATCCTTCAAATCTCCATCCTCGCGATCGCAGTTGTTAATTTAAAATTTCTTTCATTCCGTTTGAAAAAGCCTCGGATTATATCACCGAAGCGTCTCGATTTCGCGTAATAATATCTATTCATAATCGAAAATGTCTAAAATGTCACTTATTTATGCTAGGTTGCATATACGTACATCCGGTTCTTGTTTCCGGAGGATTTTAAAATCCTGTTTTCGCGCGTGTAAATTTTTCGCTCGAATTTTTCTTACTCGCGTGAGAATAAGAGAGATAGATTGAGAAAAAAAGAGAGAGAGAAGGAGAAAGAGAAAGAGAGAAAGAAATTGATATATATAGAGAGAGAGAGAGAGGGAGAGAGAGATCGGAGAACACAGAGATCAGATTCTGTCCTTTCGACGACGGTGCCCCCCCGAGCGTCGATGTATGTCGATCGGTTGTTCGATCATCGAGCGTTGCTTAGCGATAATCGTTATAGCTACCGACAGCTGTCTAATACTTATCGTTATTACTATCATTATTATTACTAGCTTCATTATTATTATTATTACTTATTATTATTAATAATATTATTATTATTATCATTAACATTATTACTAATCATTTGTTTAGCGTTAATAAATATAATTTATTAAATATAGGAACCATGTTTGTGGGTCTTGCTTGCTCGTTCGTGCACGCGAATCGTGTCGACGACGGGCACCGGGGGTTTATTATACCGCCTTTATATACCATCGTTTTCCCTTTCGTCCGCCGTCTTGTTACGTCTCGTTTTATCAAATTATGGGAAATGAAGAACGTTAAAAAACGTACGTGCCGAGCCCGATGTATACACGTATATACGGTGTGCGCGCGCGTGTATGTACGTGTATATGTATGTGTATGTATGAATTTTTGTGTGTCAAAAGTATACGAGCAAGTATACATATGTAGGTGTGTGTTTGCGTGTGTGTGTTTGTGTGCGTGCGTGTGTGTGTGTGTGTGTACATATACGCGTTATGCGAATTTTTCTTCGTTCTTTCGTCGCTTTCCCGCGAGAATCATGGATATCTCTATCTTATTCGCGAATACAAAGCACGCGCGATGGTGTCCTCTTTTTTTTTTTTACATTTTTTCACGACCGCTGAACGATTTACGACACATACACACACATGCACACATACGCGCGCGCAAACACATACACACAGGTCCGTGCACACGCGCGTCAAAACGAGAAAGAGAGTGATAGAGAGAGACAGTCAAATATCTATATATATATATATGCGTGTGTATATATATATAGACGTATGTATATATATATATATATATATATATATATATATATATATGTATATGAATATGTACGTACGTATGTGTAACGGTGGCGGCGTTTTTTTTTTAGTTTCGCGCGCCGCACACGCCATCTATCCTATATTAAACGCCGCGTCTAAGCAGCGGCGTCCGCTTGTTTCCTCTTGTTCCTCCTTCCTTTTCCCACTTTTTTTTTTTTTTAGTAACTCTGTGTGTGTATGTGTGCTTTAAATCTTTATTATTACTTTACATAGGAACGTTTAAGTTAGCCCACCTCGACGCGCGTCGTTCCGCGTCGCGTACGACGTACTTTCCCAGCCAACCCCCTTCGGGATTTCTCGTACCCTCTTCTCCTGTAAATGTACCGCGCGCATCGCTCCGAGATATGGGCCCAAAAAGGATCGATCCGATCGAACCGATGACCGACCGACCGGTTGTTGTATCGACCGGCAAGAAGAGGATTAGGATTTGCTCGATCGTGTCTGTTCGATCGTCCCCCGGGGCGATTCCACCTAGACGCTCGTCTTCGTCGAGAGTCTCTCTCTGTCCTTTTGCTACCTTTTCTCCCCTTTCTTCTCTTCATTATTTACCTTTTTTTTTCTTCTTTCTTTCGTGCTACGAGAGGAACTTTGGAGAGCGCGCGACTTCACGGCGCGCGCTGCGCGGGATTCGCAATTACAAAAATAATAGGCGAATCGGGGGCCAGGGGGCAGGGAGGCAGCGGAGGGCGAGATGACGAAGAAGAAAATTTACGAGAGAGGATCGTCGCGACTAAGTTTACCCCCCCGCCTGCCCCCCCTCTTACCGCCTCTTTGACGGGGCAGATGCCCCCGACGCGACGGAGTGCTCCACCGCGAGAGATGTATACACCCGTTGCTGCCCGTTCATCGCCGGTTAGGAACATTGGCTCGTCGTCCACCGCGACGTCCTCGAATCCGGAGCTTCTCCGAGCGACGTCCATCCGTCTCTCTTCTCTTCGATGTGTCCCCTTCCACTGGATCTTGTTTCGATCTGCTCATCGCGCACTTGCCGTACATCTCTCCGGAGGAGATAAGAGGATAGACCGAGCCCTGGCGGCGCCTTAACGTGCCCCGGCGAGGGCGGTGACCTCCTGGACCAGCTTTTGCCGTTTGGCATCAGGCCCGTTGTTGTTGTCCTGACCGCCGGTTCTTTCTCCAGCCTGTGGCTGACCGCTAGTCGTACTTTCAGCGGCCGCGCGAGCCGCCAGCAGGGTGATCTGATTGACGACGTCCTCCATCTCGTCGGTGAGCGGATTCGTTTCTTCCCCGGACTGCGCACCGCCGTCGAACTGTTGCTGCTGATGCTGATGCTGTTGCTGCTGTTGCTGCTGTTGAGCGGCCTCGAGACGCGTGCGATGCTGGAGCGTCTCGGCGTGGCGACGCCAATCGTTCACCGTGGTATAGGTGCGCGTCGGGATGCCGGGTTCGCAGAGCGAGCAGGCGTAGCGCATCTGCACGAGACGTAGGGCGCCCCGACGTTGCTGATTGCCCAGGTAGCAGGAGCGTTGGTGCGCCAGCAACGTCGACTCCTGCGGATAAGCTCGGCCGCAACGACGGCACACCAGGCACAGCTCGATCTCGGCCTCGCGGCAGTGCTGCGGCGACGCGACGCCCGTCTCGTCGGGAACGCACGGCAGACGCACCGTCTCCAGGCCCGGATGGTTCGGGTCCTGCTGCAGGAACGCCTGCATCAAGGCCCGCGGCACCTGCACCTGCGCGCCGCCCTCCACGTGCAGCGACATTAGACCACCCCGAGTAGGCCACCGCTCAAGCCCGCAGCCGCTACTGAAAGCAAATCGTGAAATCGGTTCTCGTGAGAAAACTCGTTGATATTGGAGTCGTACTTTCATCTCCGATCGCTCTGTGTCCGAGAGCGTCCGCACGGGGGAGCGAGAGCGTTTGGAAAAAGTGAATAAGCGCTGCAATTTATTTGCAATTTTATTTCATATAAGAATATTAAAATTGGAAAAAAATTGAATTTAAAGAATTAGGAAAGATGATAATGAGAAACGAGAGAACATTTTAATCGTGTTCCTCCCGGGAAAAAATCCTGCGGACGCTCATGGTTGTGTCGGTCCAATTTCGTGTCGATGAAATCATCTTACGACCCGCATTTATTTAGCTTTATGAAACTGGACTTACACCGCTTTCGGAATATACAGTCGACTCGCATTTTATCATTACACACGTCAACTAGGATCGCATCTGAGATCAATCTTAGATCCAGCTTTCGCAACGCGAAAGCAATTTGCAATCGAGTAGAATAAATGCCACTTATATTTAAATTGCTTTACGTACGAATGTCTAAAAGATACTGTAACTACGATGATGAAGATTTTCTTTCGAAATCGACTTGTGAAATTGCTGTAAACGCAACGATTCGTGTGTAACTTTCAAAAAGAAAATATATAAAACTATCTGTAAGGGAAAAAATAGCTGGAGCTAGATGGCACATTCGTGCATAATTGATTTGTGCCAACTTAGTTGTCATAATAGCACTGCCCGGAGTAAACCGGGGAAGAATTTATGCGGAACCTGTTTTTGGCCGAGCGAGACAGGTAAATTGGTAGTTATTAGCTCGCCCGCGGGCCGATGCGCATTGACGGGATAATTTCCGACGACCCAAAGTCCGCGTATCGAAAGGCTTTTGACGCCTTGTCGATTAATTTTAATTTCGGGATCATTCACGTCGCGGAGGGGAAAAAGTAGAACGGAGTTACTGTCATCTCATTTTTTTCTTTTTTGTAAAGACGCGATTAAAAAAAAAAAAAAAAAACGTAAAATGTATTGAATTAATTTGGCTGATGTTTTTCATTCGGATCCATGACGCAATCTTTGCACGATCGCGAGGAAGGATGCAGAAGCGCGCTTATGTTCCGACGTTGATTAGGCGGGTTGACAGGTTTACGCAGTGACGCACGGCTATATCGCCGCGTATCGTGTATCAGATGAGGAGTCGTTATGAGGCAGGAAGTGTTAATGATACCCCTGCTCATTCGCTGGACGCACGGCTGTAATTATCAGAGTTGGTAGGGAGGCGCGAGAAAGACGAGGAGGGTGACGCGGGAGAACGCTTTCTCTCTCTCTCTCTCTCTCTTTCTCTCTTCCGTTCCTCCGGGTTCGTCTTTCAACGTTGGCGTTGGAGTTGATAGTTATTAAACGAAGCGGAATCCCGAAGAGTGCCCGGTTCCGTTCCCTCTTTGTCCTCTAATGAGAACCCGTGACACACACTCACGTTGATCCACTGTTTGACCAACACTTTTCTCTCTCTCTCTCTCTCTTCGGTTCTTTCGCTCTCGCGTATTTTGCGCGTGGATTATGGTTTACCTCGATTGGACGAGCAAATAATCCGCGTTTTTATGTCCCATCGAAAGGGCCTTTCTCGGAAACGAGGAGGCACGGCCGTATGCAGTAAAGAAGAGAGAAAAGTGTTACGGATAAATGGGGGATTAACGCAACAACATTGGCCACGTTGTGCTCGTTCTTCTGTGCTCCCCTTTACTGCCCCGTAGTGTTCGCGGGAATGTGGCAAATTCATTACCGGGGCCCCACGGACTCTCGCTCGTCGGTATCGGAGGCAGGCCGCTCTTCTTGTTTGATATAATCGGCTGAATAATGATGGTCGAGCGCGCAAATAAACGTGTGCTTAACGCGCGATGGACGATAGGCATTATTGTGGAATTAGAATATCGTAGCCTTTGAGTGAAAGAGACAAATATAGCGAGTCATTGCTCGAGTTTAATTTAATCCGCGTGAATATAATCGTGGGACTTTTTTATTTAATTTGCGAGATCTGCTGAGTCAATATTTCTACATATGTCGTAAAATGTTGAACGATTTAATTAAGATAATGATGGAATTCGCTGCCATTTATTATTGCATCGCTGCATCGCTGACACGATAAGCACAATTTTCAGCTCAAATTTGTTTCCGCATCAAAGTTTTATATGCGCATATATAGAAGATTTATTTTATAACTTTAGAAATAATTTGGATTATTTTGGAATAAAAAAAAATAATATTTTTTGATCCTGCGATCTAGAATTGATGAACATTGATATTTTTGACATTGAATTTTAGCATAGCTCAATCGGAGCTGATGTGATAAATAATATGTGTGATCTCTTTAGCCTTCTTTCTTCCAAGGTCACTGTCAGTTCTTCGCCGCGTGCGCGCGCGAGAGAACAAAGATATATATAATATAATATAATAAGGAAGATCGTTAAATAACGCATAGCGCGTCACGGACGATCCGTGTGACACCCTTGAAACAATCGAAACGGTCGAGGAGAGAGATTATTACTCTTAATGATCACTAGTTATTCCTTTGAGTGGCTCTGATTCGTCCTCCCTTCCGTCCTCCTCCGGCACCTTCTCCTCCTAGACGGTCAACGAAGATTGTGTTGCATGTATATGTGCGCGCGTAAGTTTCATCTCCCGTGTATATATATATATATATATGCATATATACATATGCAAACGATGAAACACACACGCTCATCGTCACCATATACGCACATCACTTTCGTCCCGTCTTCTCAGTGGGGCTCATTTGCGTACGGATTGAGATAGTAGTGCTTCGGTATACCGTCGCGATGTGTGTTTTTGTTTAAATGTGTGACCCGGCGTGTGTATATGCGCGAGATTCTGATTGCCGGCCGCTCCCAAGTCCCCAGTGATCGTCATCGCGACGGACACTCATTATTTAATTTCAGCATGCCACTATGCTTTAATCCTTTGCGCCGGGAATTACTCTGACCGTGATGCTAATGGAGAGCATTTATATGGTACTCAATACGCGCAAACAGCTCTCAATTGAAGCGAACTTTCTGTGACTCTGTAATGCGAGTTAGAATGTGTTACCTATTAGCTTTTTATTTAAATAGAGCAGTATTGTAGTCCGGGAAAAGTTTCATATATATTTCCAATTTATTTTCATTTCCACTTGAAAATATTCCATGTTTTCTATACGAATCGAATTTATCGATTAGAAGTCAAATATTTCTCTGTGCTATGAAATGTGGAACTTGATAGAATGTGTCTATGGGTTTTATATTTTATAATTTAAATTCTACTATAATACATAGGATACATATTTATAGTTAAATTAATCGGATTGCAAGAGATATGTTGAAATGTCATCTATATAAAATATGCCGAATGCTCTTTCTCAAATTAAACATCAAAATTATTCAAAGCATTCCTACTTTCGAATTTGTAATGCATTCTTTTTAAATTTGCTGCTTTATCGATTGTTACAAATTTAAAGAGCCTTTAAACTTTCATATGTGATTCTTCATATGTGAGAACCACTGACCTTAAGATTGTCACGACACATGCTGGAAATTTGTTCGGCGAGAATTTACGAGCGAGTTTCCGTGTCAGACCCATGGACTCTGGTGGTAAGTACGTATAAGTCTGTATAACCTGGCAGCCATAAACTCGCATTCGAGGACCGGTGAACAGAATAATCGGGAATGTCGTTAGTTAACGCGTTCAGGAATTTTAACGACTGTTTCCAAAGATGCGCGCGCGGAAAAATGCAATTCGTCACGTTGCGGGTTGTTGGTCCAAGCCGCGTTATTGAATAATGATTAGTGATCGTAAGCAGAATCCATCGTGCGGAGTCATTAAATTATAGTCTAATGTTATGATATTATGAAACAATAATTATATGGTCGTTTTTGTCATTATTATATGCAGAGCAGCGACTTTGCGAAATTAGGTTCTGCCAGTGATCTGCATTAATTGCTGATTGAACCGAATTAATGTAGAATTTCAAATGGTAAAATTATACTGGCGCGCGTTCTTGTTCACCCTCGTGGGATTCATCAGAGAGCGGGGTAATTCGTGGACTACCGCGGCGGATAAATCTCGGAGGTGGAGTTAATACCACCGAGGAGAGGATCTGCGTAGTGCCATAACTGACCGTTACGCGAAGTATGCACAACGGTGCATTCCGCGTGTGCGTGCTAGCGCGTTCTCACGTGGTTGACCACCGCACACGTACGTGTATAGGAAAACACGTCGTGAACGTGGGCGTGCATTCCTGCCTTCGCATTATCTCTTCTTGGCTCTTTCTCTCTCTTCTTCTTTTCTCGTTTCTTTTGCCCCTTTCTCTCTTTCTCTTTCCTTTTCTCTCCTCTCTTCTCTCTCGTCGACCGACCACGTACGAGGAGGAATCCTCTCCTCTTTTTATTCCTTATCCAGACCCGTTATCGTCGATACCATGGGCCGAAACGACTGTTTCACACCTCCGCTCGCGCGGGAATTAGGAAATAAATTAGCGGCCGGGCTAATTTCGTTATCTCGTTCGATGACCGCCCCACCCCGCTTAAGACGTCAAGGCCTGATGTTGGAGAGGGTTTCGAGACCCGACTCGAGGACACGGTCGTGTCCCGATGCATCGCAGGATCAATGGCTCTGCTCGCTCGCGCAAACTGCGACTTCGTTAAAAACAGGTCAATTCCGATTAAAGCGATGGCGAGGACCTTCTCGCCTTCGAGAAATCGCGATGGTCACTCTTGTAATTAACCCACGGCGAGATGTTTCTGGAAAGTGGCGTGAGCAATGCCATCATTTACTCCATTATTTATTTCATCCTAATGCGCTACGATGTCTTGCGATTATGCGATTAGGGGTAGTAACCCATCATAGATACACGTTATAAAACGGTAACAATTGAAAGTAGTTTTTTTTATAATAATTTAAATAATGTATCGCGTCTCATTTAATCGTGTTTATGAAAATTGATGATACTATACACAGGAATTTATTTATGAATT